AAATAATAATAAAGAACATCAATGGCTCTTACCAGCAACCCATGAAAGTGGGATTCTGAAATTGTACTTGCCTGAGTGTGGTTGGGGAAGACAGCTTATAAGTAGGCAATCTGAAAATAGAAAATGGAAATTGGGTGGTGAATGGGAAATGACCTCTGCACAGGGACACAGCTGGACTCCTTGTGAAGGCTCAGAGAGAGTCCTGCCTTCTCTGAGGTTCAAATCCAAGCCCTGCCAGTTGATAGCCATATGTCCTTGGACAATATGCTATACTCTCTGACTCATCTGGGAAAAGGAACTAGTAACTCTCTACCTCCCATAGGAATTGAGAGAATTGAATGAGATTATTTCTATAAACATGCCTGAATTCCTAGCCCAACAAATTGTGGCACACATCATTATCACCATCATCATCATCATCATCACCAGTGATAATACATCTTTTGGAAATATAAGAATTGTCAAATCAACACAAAGATGCCTCACTCTCTAAAACATTTGAGCCAACTGTAATTACGGTACCAGTAATACCAGTAAGTTCTCTGCACCTTTTTTCCCCCTCTGCATCTTTTTTTAAAATTTTATTTTAATTTATTTTTTCAAATACATTTGTCTCTGCCTACTTCCCTCTGCATCTTAAAGTTTGACTTTGTACATTTGTTTTGTTTGTTTGTTTTTGTTTTATTGGTAGTAGTGACCTCTTTTTAGAGCAATTTTAGGCTCACAGGAAAACTGAGCAGAAAATACAGTTTCCTTATCTCTCCTGTACCCCTTCCACATACACAGTCCCCACCCTGGATCAACATCTTCAGTTTTTGTTTGTTTTTCCAGTGGGAAACTGATTTCCTGTGGGTAACATGGCAGAGAGTAAAAACTTTCTTGTAAGCAAAGTGGCAGACCTGTCCTCAGATACCGGGAGGTAGAAAGGAGGCCCATCACCTACTAGGTCTCTCCAGGTGTCCACAGGTAGTTGCCACAGGTGTTTGAATGAGTGGGAGTCCATGCCTTATGCTGCCTTGTGCACAAGAACTAATGTGGCTTTCTTCTTTTTTTTAATTTTATTTTTCAATTACAGTTGACATGCAAAATTATTGTATATTAGTTTTAGTTGTACAAAATAGTGGTTAGACAATCATATACTTTACAGAGTTATTCCCAAAGATATCCACCTGGTATCATACATAGTCATTATGAGTGGATAAAATGTGGTGGTATACACATACAATGGACTAATACTCGGCCATAAAAAAGGATGAACATTTACCATTTGCAACAGCATGGATGGACCTACAGGGTAGTACGCTATGTAAAATAAGTCAGACAGAAAAAAACTAATATGATTTCACTTATATGCAGAATATAAATAGCAAAATAAATGAACAAACAAATCAGAAACAGAGTCATAGATAACAGAGATCAAAATGAGGGCTGCCAGAAGGGAAGGGAGCCGGGGGCTGAGTGAAAAAGGCAAAAGGATTAAAAAGTACATATTGGTAGTTACAGTCATAAAGCATAAAACAGTCATAAAGATGCAAAGTACAGCATAGGAAATACAGTCAACTCATGTAACTTGACACCAAAAAAACAAAAAGCCAATTACATAATGGGAAGAAAATTTGAGTAGACACTTCTCCAGAGACAACATACAGATGGCCAATAGACATGTGAAAAGATGCCCAACATCACTAATTATCAGATAAATCCAAATTTAAACCACAATGAAATGCTGTGTCACACCTGTCAGAATGGCTACCATCAATAAATCAACAATAAATAAATCTCCACATCCTGGTGAGGGTGCAGAGAAGAGAGAACCCTCATGCACTGCTGGTGAGATTGCAAATTGGTGCACCCACTATGAAGACAATATGGAGTTTCCTTAAAAATATTAAAAATGAAACTGGCTTATGACCTACAAATTCCACTTCTGGGTATATATTCAAGAAAACCCAAAACATTATTTTGAAAGGATATATGCACCCCTATGTTCATTGCAGCATTATTTACAATCAACAAAGTATGGTAACAGCCCAAGTGTCCATCTGTAGACAAGTGGATAATGGGACTTTCAATAGCCATCAGCCTTGACAACACAGAGAGTCTGGCAAATCTATTTCTCCTCCCAGTCCTAGTGTTTGATATTGCAACATTTTAGACAGAGCTTCTTGCCTCGAAACAGGATCAGTTTGTAATATTGGAATGTAATATTGGAGAGATGGTTTATGGGCTTCCAAGTGGCATTGGCTGTTTCAGTGAGTTGAGAATGGCAGCTATAATTGGCTTGTTTAGTCTTGGTTAATCCAAAAGTGTGCAACTCTGTATTCCATTTACTACATTTGGCTGTCTTTTCAAAGGTCGTAATAAAACCTGCTGATCATTATGACTTTTGCAAGTCATTATGCAAAAGATGGTTTGAGTCCATTGCATCTTGGGAATGTGTATTCTGACTCATCTACAAAACTATAAAATACAGCATTAATTTTTAATTGACATTTTCAAAAAAATACCCCAAAAGCAAATAATTTTTTGCAGTTATGAACAAACCAATAAATAGAAAGGTTTTTTAAGGCTTCTCTGCATGCCAGGCTTCCCAAGATCCTCAGAGAGTAGTAAAGTGTAAGGCAGAGTGACTACCTCTCCAATCTCCTATCACCTACGAAAACCACACAAGAAATCCAAATTCAGGGTAGACAAACAAAATAAGGATAAAATACAAGGAAGTCACAGCAACTAACGGAGAAACTATTTTGATTTATAGCCTTGCAAGCCCTTATATGTAAATACACTTATGTATGTGCATTTACATATATATACATTCTTATACATAATTTAACAAAAAATTAGATTGTACACACTGTTTTATAACACTTTTCATTTAGCAATGTAGTGTAAAATGCTTTTCCTTGTCACTAAATATAGATTTACATGATCTCTTTTAACAGTATTCCATTGAATGATGAATTATAGTTAAATAACCCTTCCTTTGTGGTATATTTTACTAAGTTTTGATAATTTATTACGGTCAGAATTTTGAAAAGAATATCCTTAGTACATATGTTTTTGTGCAATTGTCCAATATTTTCACAGAATCGGGTGTTAAGATGTACTTTGGAATCTTAAAATCTGTTTGACAAGACAAAACACATACATGTTAAAAAAGAAAACAAGTGCATAAAGAGAGGAGGGGTGTCTAAATTAGTTTGATAGCCAAGAATCAAAGGCCAGAGAGACAATTTCATGCTTGGGTTGCTACATGAGGCTTCCTGAAGGAGAGTTGTAAGTGACAGAAGTTTAACTCAAATCAGCTAAGTATAAAAGGGTATTGTATTATCATCTCATGAAATTGAAAGTCCACTTTGGTTTCAGACTGGGCTGGGTCCAGAGTTCACAAGGCGTCATTGGGTACCTGTGTGTGTGTATGCCATCTCTTGGTGAGCTGCATTCTCAGGCAAGCTCTTTCTATATGGCAGATGCCTCAAGGAGCTCCTGATTCCTGTGGTATTTATATGTCATAAGGAGAGAACTCCTCTCTCCCAGCTTCTCTGTTGATTCCTTGCAGACCTTTTGCTCACCCACCACTATGTGAAAGGAAATGGGTATTCTGGTGGCCAGTCTGGGTCATGTGCCTTTGCCCTGTGGTGAGGGAGGTGGGAAATGTGAGACTGAAGGCCCTTCCCATGGAACAATTCTCAAAAGGAAAAATCCTAGATGGTGGAAAAAATGAGAGGATGCTGGAACTTGAAGGATGAGCACCCATATCCATTAGATGCTTTGGGCTGCAAGTCACAGAGAAATTTCAAATCAAATTAACCTGCTTGCCAATATGTTATGTTATGAAGTCTGGAGGTGGGGTGGGCTCTAGCACCCCATGATCAGTGGCTCAGTGAAATTGTTAAGTTGACTGAGGGTTGACTTCATCTCAAATCAGATTTCCCTCAATATGGATACCAATGGCAATTAGGAATCCCAGTCTCTTTGTCCACAGTCAACACTTGAGGGTAAGAAACAGCTCCCTCTGTCAAGAACTATAAAGCCTTTCCTACCATCTGATTGGGCCAGCCTGGGTCATGTGCCCACCCCTGAACCAAGAGTGGTTCCTGGGGACTACTACACACCAATTGGCCAATCTGTATCTACTCTGGTAGGAAAAAGTGGGGTTGCCTTCCACATGGGATATGGTAGATATTTGAATGAAAATGAGGTCCTATTAGAAGTTCTGGAGGATGGACACTGGGTGGCCAACCAACAGTGGAATCCAAGTAAGATTTCATTAGTTAGAAAGGAAACATGGAATTGGATAAGGTGAAAGAGGTGATTTATGGCCTGGTCACAGGTGACCAAAAATGTGGAAGTAAGGTTACAGAGACTATCCTGAAGGGAAGATAAGAGTGAACAAAAATCATTTGGAAGTATTCATTTATTTATTCCTTTATTGCACATATATGTATTGAATATTTACTATGCACCAGGCCTTGGGCTGAGTGCTGAGTATAAATGAGGTAGATATAGTTCATATTCACGTGGACTTCTATTGGGGAAGAAAGACAGCAAACAAGTGAATTTCACATATAATATCAAGAAAAAAACAAAACAGGATCGGGGATGGAGAGAAATGGGAGGGAGGAGAGCACAAGGCTTCTTGCATAGGTTAATATTGATCCCAGGTTCTAAGGGATGTGATAGAGTCAGGCAAGATGATCTTGGGAGAATGTGTTCTTGGTAGAGGGAACAAAAAGTGCAAAGCCTATGGGGCAGGCATCCATGGCATGTTTGGAGAACAAGGAGGAGGACAACGTGGAGAATGGTACACAGTAATGTCAGAAAGGAGGGGTGAGATCGCATAGAACTTTGTAGGCATTGCAAAGACTTTGTTCTTACCCTGAGTAAGATGCTGAATTCATGGTGACAGAGGATGTTATTGAAATGAGAGTGGCCAGACCCTCAGCCTGTGGCTCTGCCCTAACTCTGAATTTAATCGCTTCTCCTCTCCTCTCTTCCAGGCCATGTACATGTTCTATGCGCTGGCCATTGTGTGTGATGACTTCTTCGTCCCCTCCTTGGAAAAGATCTGTGAGGTATGTGCCTTGATCTTCAGCATGTTTGAGCTGGGCAGTGGTACTGCCCCAACCTGCTCCACCAAGGTCCTGGGGAGCCCTCTATGCAACCTGGGATGGGAACACCAGGCATCAGCATGCTTCAGAGCAATGGGCAATATTAGCACAAAAGCTCCATCAATCTGCTTAGACTTTCAGGGCACCCATCCATAGCCGGGTTTTTACCACATGGCCAGCTCTCCCTGTTCCATTTGGCCATTACTCATGGTGCTTTTGTGTTCTGCTTCCAATTTTCTTTTCCTCTTTTAAATTTGGCTCTTCCTTTCTCCTTGTCGCTTCCTCCACCTTCCTCTCCTTTATTCCCTTCTGCTTCCATAACCCTCCCTTGGTAATATATGGGGTCCTTGTCGAGTGAGAAATCTTCAGCCACACACATCTGTCACCCTTCCTCTGTGTTTATGTACAGAAATGCTCCAAGCAGAGGTCTAAAAGGCGAGAAGATGAAAGAACTGGCCACAGAGACAAGGAAATGGACTCTGTTCGAAATCCGCCCAGTGACGCCAGGCTGAATACCAAGTTAAACCCCTTTCACCAGAAAATATTCAGCATATCTAGAACTTTTTCATTCTCTTTCCTCTTTAATTTCTTTGTCTTTTGAAATGTAGTTTCCTTTTTCTGGACGCTTTCCATTTTATTTTATTTTTAATTTGGAATCCTTTTTTTCAGAAGGGCTCTCTCCCAGATGTACCTCCTATCTGGAACTCACGTTTCTTTATGTAGTTTTCAAACTTTGTTTTCCCTCCCCTTTCCTTTCTTCCTCCCCACAAGTGTCAGAATTCACTATGTCTTGGGGGCCAGCAGGGAACAGCAGTTTCATTTCTAGTAAGTTTTCAGGTGCTACTGAGGCTACTGGTCCAAAATCACACTTTGTGAACCACTAACTTGAGCAGTTCCTTCTATATCCTGGAAGTCTGTTAGTTTTGTGTACCTAAAAATAAAAGAATGATTCCACAATAACCCTAGAGAGGCCCCAGGAATGGATTCCTTATACAGTGAAAGTAGGAGAGGAAGGAGTGAGGTGATATCTGCGGTGAACAGTGGATAGGTGTGGAAGCCCTTTGTTCAAAGTGAGTTAACTTGTAAACAGGGCCACCTCATGTGGAAGATGTAGAAGTTCTCAAACCCTTGTAATTGGGGTCATTTGCAATCTCTGAAATATCACCATTTGGTGCTTTATTTTTTACATAAAGCACACTACTCTCTCTCTCTTTTCTACACAACTTTAAAAAAATAGCAAAGACCGTCTTCTACAAATGTGCGTATTGGGATGACCAAGAAGTCCATTACATTTTTTGTGTACAATGGCTCTATTAGTGTTTAGTTGTCTTTAACTTCACTCTAAACAATTTTTGTCAGATTGTATTGTGACAGCTGTCATATCAGTGTGCATTTAAAAAAGCCATCAAAATTGGTGAATTTTTGTGCAGCCATTTTAATATTGAAGATGGAAGAAAATAAGCAATGTTTTTGGCATTTTATGCTTTATTATTTCAAGAAAGGTAAAAATGCAACTGAAATGCAGAAATGAATTACTTGTGCAGTATGTGGAGAATGTTCTGTGACTGATCAATTGTGTCAAAGTGGTTTGCAACTGACATTTTGGCCAGATAATTCTTTGCTGTAGAGTTGTCTTATACATTGGAAGATGTTTAGTTGCACCCCAGGCCTCTGCCCACTAGAAGCCAATAGCAGGAGATAGATGACATACTAAAAATATCCAAATCAATAATTATTGGTGAAAATGGAAAATGTGTCTTTTATTTTACAAAACAAAAATGTAACAGACTTTTTGGCCAACCCAATACAGTTGTCAGAATGTGTGCTATTCAATTGAGGAAATCCATGGAACCTGCAAGCACACCCAAAGGAAACAAGATGAGACATATCTTAGTCTTTGTCATCTAAGTGCTGTAGGGTGCAAAGCAACTCCTGATTGACACACACAGTGGGCTGGATGAAGTGCAGGGACAATGGAAAGTGCAGAGAGAGAAAGGGGAGGAAGGGTCATTCGGTGAGGAGATCAGGGAAAGGCTCATACAGGGGCTGGATTGGAGCAGCCCTGGGAAGGAGAGTCTCAGTGGCAATGCATTTCCAGGAGTGGTATTTTTGAGCAGAGAAGAGTCTGAGATGTAGAACCAATCCGCGAACCCAGAACCGGAATCGGCATGTGGCAAGCCTGGAGAATGCCAGCCTGGGGTGTGAGGAGCTGTTCAGTGCCCAGGAGGGAGCTGGGAAGGCTTTAGACAACTATGTTCTGGTAGATGGCAAGAAATCTAGAGACAGAAAGACCCCTCAATGGTCATTCTAAGAGTCTGGTGAGATGTTGCTGGGGCAGAAGTGAATTAGGAATGAAAGAGGAGGGGAATATAAGGAAATACGAAGGAAGAAGCCAACTGAGTGAGTGAAGGAGAGAAATGAACTGGAGATGATCCCCAGGTGTGGACTCCAGAATTAACACCCCATCCAGAAGCCCAAGCTGGAGAAGACACAGCAATGCAAGGCTCACAGCCCAGGGCAAGTCTTGGCAAACCACCCAAAGAAGCTCTCCTTGGTGTGAGCTCTCCTTCCCACAGACTCCCTTTTCCTGGTGAAACAGGATGCCAAGGTGCCCTCACAACCACACCTTTCAATATGAGGTATCAGCACCTCCATCTTAGGGTCTCCTCAGAATTCCATGTGAAGTTTAGTTGTTCAATCAAGAGTGAGGAACCCCAGCATTTCAGATCAACATGCTCCCTTGGGGATCCTGCAACAGAATGTTGCTGGTCAGGGGAGCCAGTAGCCTATGCCAAGGCCATGCTGCCATACCTCCATGACTGAGCAAGGAAGTACAGCAGCCGGTGCCTCTGGGAAGAGTGTCCTTCAAGTGGAGTATCTCTTAGCTGGGATGACAGAAGGAACTGGCTATTTAGTGACTGCCAGTAGCTCTCTTTCTGAGTCATGATTGAAAGCAGAAAAGCTAACCATGCTAACCATCATCCTCTAATGTGTATTTGTCTTGTCTTCTTGCAAGGGACCCCTGGATTAACAAATAGGGTGACCTGGAGAGTTTGTTGAATAGAGTATCTTGGCAGGCTGATGCCTCATTACTTTCGACTCACCCCTCACTCTTCCTACCCTAGGCTTTTAAGGTTGCATCAAAGATGGAAATAGGTTTCAAGGGGTGACCCTCCCCCATTCCCAAGGCCCCCATAGCCTCTTACAATCAAGGCTCAAAATGTGGTTACCATGAGCCTAATTTAGCCTGAAATTGGCATGGTATTGAAAAAATCAGGATATTTTACATTTAAAAAAATGCGGATTTTTGGCATTTCTTAAAAAGGATACATAGATGAAAGGAAACTAGACTTCAGGTGGTAGGCATACAGTAGAGTATATAGATGTTATATTATAAATAGAGACACCTGAAACTTATATAGCATTGTAATTAACCAATGTCACCCTGATAAATTTAATTTTAAAATAAAGATATTTGGCAACTCAGTAGGAACTGAGTGGTGCTGACTTTAGAAAGGAGGTAAGTGCCCACTTCACTCCTCCCTGTTACCCGCATGGCCCCTGGGGCCATGGGGGTTTGGGACCCCTAGATCAGGCAGCCCTCTCCCTGATCTTGCCCCTCAGGGAGGACAATAAAAAGAGCTGTGGCATACCCAGGAAGATCAGTCAGGAGTGGCCAAGCTCTGGGGAGGAGGTGGAGGAAGGACCAAGCTTGAAACCTGGGAGTCACAGGGTCCCCAGGAAGAATTCGACTTACCTGTGCTTTGTCCTTGCTTCTCCATAGCGCCTGCACCTCAGTGAAGATGTAGCTGGGGCCACGTTCATGGCAGCGGGCAGTTCAGCCCCAGAGCTGTTCACATCCGTCATAGGTAGGTGATGACCTGGGAACAACTCAGGCTTGCCCTCTAAAGGTCAAACACTCTGTGGTTGCTTTTAATTATTATTTTATTAAAGTAATGCTTTTACTTTGCATGGGCATGTCCCAGATCCAATGCTAATGCTGCTGTGGGACAGTGTACCCAATGGAGATTAGAAAGCTCTCTCCAATCCTCGACTATTTCCTGTAGATCCTCCGTGAACAGTCTAACACTTAAGAAAGCTCCTCCACACAACCTTGGAATACTACTAGCCACAACATTCAGGCTGATGTTGGGACTGTGTTTCAGGTGTCTTCATTACCAAGGGCGACGTGGGAGTTGGGACCATTGTGGGCTCGGCAGTGTTTAATATCCTGTGCATCATCGGAGTCTGCGGGCTCTTCGCTGGACAGGTAAGAGTGAAAGCAGAAGGTGTTGTCTCAGGAGGGGCAGCATGGAGGTGAGACAGAGGCCAGTCTGGCAGAAGCCTAAGCAGCATGAGGGTCAGTGGTCTTGGGCAGTGATGATGTGGGATCTCACACCACAGGCTGCTCATCCAACTAGACCTGGAAATTCTCAGGTACCATCATTTGGTTTCTGAATTGATGGAATACGGAGTGCCCAGGTTCACATAAATAATTAACCAGACTGAAGATGTGGGCCACAAATCTGAAGTTGTTACACTCATTTTTAAATTATTGATCTGAACTGGAAGATCTAAAACAGTATTAGGTATGGTTTTGCCTCAATGGAAATAAAATAAATAAGAGAGATAGGAGAAAACAGGAAATAACACAGCTTTTCTTTCCTGCTAAAAACAACTTACATTCATCACAGTTTAGGACCCTATCTTTCTTTATCTACAGCCTTCAAGCATTTTACTTACATGTTCACTCTAGCTTACTTTTGGGTTTATGACAGGCTTTGCATGCTTGCATTTTATTTATTCCACTGCCACGGGGGTGTCACGGGGTCTTTGTCCTTTAGGAACCCTGGTATGTGTTTCAGAAAGTCTTGGAAAGACACCCCAAAGTTGTCTAAGTGTGAGGCTTTCTAGTATCCATGCTATGGCAATGGTAAATAAGGCTTTGTAACCATCCTGCCAGCTCTCATGTCCTCATTCCTTTGTAGGAATTTTATTTAGAAGCAACACAGTCTTCAGTTCTCTGCCTTATCACCAAGAACTCTGAGTATCTTCTAGGAAAAATGGCTTCTTGAAGCCCATCGAGGATACTCCACTTGCAGTATTGAGGTACCTGGTGGTCTTAACCAGCTCCTTTGCTATGGAGGATACAGAGTCCTGATAGAAGTGGCTGGTTGGAATTTTCTCCTACACCCTTTCCCATGCCCCTCTGTCATTCAGCCAGCCAGCCAGGGTATCAAATGCTACTGGTCTCTCTAACACAGACTGGAGAGTGTCTAAAGCAGGATGCACTCTTCCACACCATTGATGTTCTCCACTGCCGTTTTACTTCCATCTTCTTCATGCCAGTTTATTTGTCTGGGCAGCCTGATGAGTTTGTTGCTTCTGGGTGACAGGCAGCGGGACACCTTGATCTCATCAGGAGTCAGTTCCAGTGCCCACAGGTGCACAATTACTTCTGAAAAGGGACAGCTGTGTCCACATGTGCCCAAGTTGCTGGACTGAACATTTTCTTCATGTTTTTGATCAATTATCTCTTGTCTTAGATTTTGTGGGCCCACAATATGGTGTTTTTTAGATGTCCTATAAATGTAATTAGTACAAAAAGTCTCTGTCTTTGCCTTCACTTCCTTTTGTACTTTACTTGCTCTCATCTGAGTTGGAGATGAACAGTCACATCCTGCAGAAAAGCCTGTTGCTTTAGCACTCTCTTAATTAGCATTGTCACCGTTAGTGGTATGACTATTAGCCTGGCTATTATTAGTGTTGTCATTCAGTTCATTAGTCATTTGTACCTGAAATTTGACACAAAGCCAAGCCCAAAGAGGGAGAAATGATGTAAGGAAATGAAACAAATGACTAGGACATGTCTAGTAAACGCCATACAATTAATTACATACAATTGGTTTGAATGCATTTGTATTTCATAATTTATTAGCAATGCAGTTAATCACTGGCATTGCTAGAACACCTTAAAAGGCAAATTGCTTCCTGAACTTTCGCAAATGCTGGAATAGCCACTTTACCCTTCTGAAAGGTCTCTGCCAAGCTTATCTCACAACCCTGCAACAGTCATGGAGAGAAGTAGCCCATGTGATGATTCTGGTTGCCAACCATTCCTTCCATCTTTCCTTTTCCTGTGCTCACTTGAAGAGTTCCAAAGCCCCACAGCTGTCTTCTTCAGACTTTTTAAAATCCCCAAAGTTTTTGCAGAGGAAGCCAAACGATGTTTTGGGAGTCAGGCTGACATGGGTTTGAATCCTGACTGCCATTTATTGGTTGTGCAGCCTTGGATAAGTTGTTTCACCTCTTTACACCTTGGTTTTCTTAACCATAGAGTGGTTATAAGTGCACCTACCTCCTGGCATTGCCATGAGGATGAAACAATATGTTCAACAAACAACACCTGGCCCACAGAGTAAATGCTCAACAAAAGTTAGACACCATTATCAGCTCTGAGAATAGCAATCCCTAGGTCTCTCACCTCCACATTCCACCCAAGGTCACTGCAATAATTTAACAACCAGTGGAGGAACTAAGAACTAATTTGTTGAACAGCATCTGGATGTCCTATATCAAGGGTAGGGAAGATCAGGGAGGATGCCTGCTAAGTGGAAATCCAAATGAGGAACTGCTGATTAGAAGAACCATCTCAGAGGACTGGTCCTTGTCTCTGTGCAGTCTGGTCAGGGGAAGAAAAACAAAACTCAGTAAGAAATGAATGGTGCCTGGCATATTGAGCCTCCCTCCCAGGCAGTGGAGCCTTTTCAGCAGCACATTCCAGCAAAAGATGGTTATTGGCAATGAACTGATTAATAAATCCAGTCATGGGTCTCACTTAGCATTGTTACTTGTGTTGCTCAGCACTTTGATTTGGCTGTGAGGATTACCAGCGAATGCCAGTGGACCCCTCTCCAATGTAATCCAGCATGCAGGGCTGCGCATGACCAAGTCTGTTACCCATCTGAAATTAAAGTAATTAAGCCGTAAGGTTTGAGTTCCTGTCTCAATTAGGGTTTTGAAGAAATGATGTAATTAAATGCCTCCTGTATTTGCAATTTGCAAACATACCCAGTGCTTCAGTGTTCGCTTAAGGTGCTTTGGGAAGTTTTATGGGACAAGAAGGAAATTGCTTCTTAGAAAGTCATTTATAGAGTAGTTCTTGGCATCCCACAAGGCATTTATAGAGTTATGAATCTACAAGTTTTTTTTATTAAAAAAAATAATAACAACAGAAAACACCAATTCATTTCAGTTTTGTAAAACAATATACTTATGAATTTTTTTCTTTTAGTACAAATTTTAATGATTCACAGTTTTGAATATAAGCAGTGTGCCCTGCCAGCCACACCAAAAGGACATCATGGAAAGCTTGTTCATTTTGCTACTTGGGTGACTTTGTATGGAAAGTCTTCAGAAATTCATGAAATAAATGAATGAGTGAATAAAACAGTAATTCACTCCATGGTGTTCTGGTACCACATGAGTTGTAAGGGATAAAATTCCCCTGCTGGGACTATACCCTAAGAATCCCAAAATGCCAATTCAAAAGAACCTGTGCACCCCAATGTTCACAGCAGCACAATTTACATTAGCCAAGTGAATTTAAATCCACCACTCAGATCATGTTAAGCTTTAAAGACATAATCACAAATGGAGTAAACAGTTTAACTGCAATCCAGATGAGGACTTTCATATTCCAGTTATTACAGGCTGGCAGATGGCTCCAGTTTATGATAAAGAGCTTCAACATCAGCTCTCCTGGCAACCTCCAAATGCACCTAATGTTCATTGGCAAGGTCCAACTAATCTTGGCTGGGTTTGCCTTTCTGTTCCTGCTGGCGCCTTTACACAAAGCTGGTTGCACATCTGAATTGAAACCTGCCTTCAATCTGGCTTCCCCAGAAGGAGAATCTATGCAACAATTCCAAGTTCAAGTAGTTTATCTAAAAGATGATCCCAGGACATGCCAGCCGAGGAGTGGGGAAGTGAGACAGGAAAGAGAAAGTAGCAAGAAAAGTGTGTTAACAAGCAAGTTATCACCTTGGAAGCTAAGACATACTTCTAAGGAACTGGGAGGCAGTATAGAACATGGGCCTGTAAGTTATCTCATTCAAGATGAAGGGAGATGGGGTATTTACCCATTCCCTCCAATCATTGGGTAAGGACTGTTCCTGAAAAACATTAATTCCCTGACATTCCAGCTTGCTGGGCACAGGCAGATTGAACTTTGGACCCCGAGAAAACCCCCAAGCAAAGACACAAAGGGGCTGGCAGTTGAAAGGACCTAAAAGAGTAAAAGGTGAGGAGATAGGAATGGGGCCCATAAAGCATTGGCTACAAACTCAAGACTAAGCCTTTAAAAATAAGCCATCTGGTGGGTCTCTATCCAACTCCATTGGATGAAACACAAGCATTTTTACCAGGCTGACTATTAAGCATTTGGGACCAGAATATTTTGCATTTAGGCAATGTTCTGTAATGTTAAACATAACAGCTACCATTCTAGGTACTTACTGCTTTCAGTTAGGACACAGAAAACATTAGCTGTCATGGGAACACCAAAAAAAACTGGATACCACACATATCATTTTTTTTTAATTTATTTACTTATCATATATATTTGTCTCTGCCTTCCCCCCACCACTTTCCCTTGTCCCTTCCCTCCCGCCCTCCCTTAACCCTTCCCCTTTGGTTTTGTCCAGGAGTCCTTGCTATATGTTCCTTGACTTTCCCCTTCCCTTCCCTTTCCCTGTACCCCCCCTTCCCTCTTGTCTCTGTGGATTTCTTTCCCTTTCAGTGTTGCTGGTCATATTTTCCTTGCATCTTTGCATTGTTGGTTAGGTTCTGCTTATAGGTGAGATCATATGGTATTTGTCTTTTGCCCCCTGGCTTATTTTGATTAGCATGATGCTCTTCAGTTCCATCCATGCTGTCGCGAAGTTTAGTAGTTCTTTTTTTCTTTCTGCTGCATAGTATTCCACTGTGTATATGTACCATAATTTTTTGATCCAATCATCTACTGATGGGCACTTAGGTTGCTTCCAACACTTGGCTATTGTAAATTGTGCTGCTATGAACATTGGGGTGCATAGGTTCTTTTGTATTGGCGTTTTGGTGTTCTTAGGGTATAGTCCCAGCAGGGGATTCACTGGATCAAAAGGCAGTTCCATTTTCAGCTTTCTGAGGAAATTTCACACTGCTTTCCACAGTGGCTGCACCAGTCTGCATTCCCACCAACAGTGTACTAGGGTTCCCTTTTCTCCACAG